CCAACCACCAATGAAATAAAACTGGTTCCTGAAAATCGATTTGACACTAGTATGCTTTGATTTAACGACTTTTCTATACTTTCTCCAAGAATTAGATACATTTTTGGTGGAAAGTTCATATAGTGTGATCTAATATGATATGACCGAGAAAAAATGTATACTAAGTTCTGACTACTCATCTAGGAGAATAGCGCAAGTCGGTAAATTTATGAATAGAAAATGAAAATTCACAAGTCTCAAGGATATATGATTGGGTGAGAAATATTGTGTTCTGAATGTACCAATTTTCTGGCATAAATCTCAGCTTAAATTTCGAACCATCTGATATGAATCCAAACAACCTCATACTCTTGAGATTAACTCTTTTGAACGAAATCAATCGGGTGAAAATATACAGTATGTTTCGTTTCAAAAAACAAAACTTTGATGAATCGTTATTTTATTAAATTCCTGCATAATTATAGTTATTTTCAAAAGATAGCTTCTACAAATTTGATTTAATTCTTGGAATAGTTCAAAAGATAGGAAAGTGACAGTGAAATTGTAAAATAAGTGCAATAACTACAAAGTACAGAGTACAATATTCGATTAAAATTTATGTGGATAAATTGAGTTATTCAATTGAAAAATGTGAACTACTCACTTACTATCACGAACACAAGCATAGTTGTAACAATGGTAATAGCAATAGTTCGCAACAGTTATTCAACACCATTAAGTTGATCCTATGAAACTAGAATATCTGGAAATTATTAAAATCAGTACTTTTTCAACTATTTCCGGGTGATTTCACTCTGTTAAATAAAGTACGATTACGAATATTATTCTACATTTCGTATTATAACTAATGTATAGTTGTAAGAATTCAACAATTATATTCCCTATTCTATGTATTGATAAGGTAAGAGTCCATACGAGTATAATTATTTATAATTGATTTACGTAGGCAACACATATATCCGTTCCATTCGATACTGACATTGAAAATTCATCATATATACGAAACACTATTGACACTTTTTTTTTAGTCCACCGGTATTGTCTTACTACATGCCAGACCATTCAGAAAACGGTTCGAACATTGAATTTGAAAATTATTTGTTTCACTCTTACTGAGTGACTAGAAAGGTAAGTAGTTAATTCACAAAAGTTGTGGTTATTGTTGACGTTTTGGTAATAAGTATGGCTGTTGTTGTTACGTTTTTTTTCCATTATTTTGAATCATTTCACCTACAAAATCTTTGGGATATGCCACCTATATAATTTCCTAAAAATTTCCTAAAAATCAGTAATACACATTGGAGAATTTAGCCAAAAGTAGATCTCATTTTCACTTCTTAAGATTCAAGGCATCATCTCAATGCTTTTAGGATTACCCAAATTCATAACCAATTATATATCCAACTAATTATGCAATCATATCCCCTAAATTGAGTTAGTTGGAACCTCTGGCGTAGAATAAATGCAAAACAGGAAATTTTACCAATCACCAGAACTGTAATACTCTTCTCGACGCGCATTTCACCAACCAAGTTGGCCTCTTCAGAAGATGAAAAGAGCTAAATTTCATCAGTTCGAACTTGTATTGTCTGATATGATATAAAATTATTTGAAATCCCTGAAAGAACCAATAAAATTGAAAATTGAAGTTTATAGCTGGAAACAACAATTTTATCAAGCAAAAAAAACTGATATGTAATTACAATAAAATGAAATTCAAGCAATGAATTGAAAATTGAACAATTAAAAACGACATTTCTATTGTTAGTATCCAACAATCGTCTTCGGGTGATGACTGGACTATTCCTCCCTAAGATGACTATTTATAGGTCATTCCAGTGCTTACACCTATTATTCCTTCCCTCTCTCCGCTTTACCGGTTTAGCGGGAGATGTCCGTTCGGCGGGAGTTTGTCGTTTCCCGCTTGATTATGGGTTTCCATATGTTGCGTATATCTACGCTAGCTTCGCTGAATCCGTTGTTGGACAACATATATGTGGCTTCTTTGAATTTCTTCGTGAACCAGTGTTTCTCTCTGTGGATGATCTCAGCTTGGGACCACTTGATGTTATGTTGATGAGTCAAAACATGCTCTGCTATGGTCGATTTGCTGGTTTTATCTCGCTGTGTGTCTCTTATGCTCGGCAATGCGGACTTCCACTGGCCTCTCAGTTTCACCAATATAGGATTTGTCGCATTCAAAGGATATCCGGTGAATGCAATTCTTGAAATCGCAGTCCGCGTTTGGAGGCCTACGGATAATGTTTCCGGATCTGAAGCAGGTTCTTATGTTGTACTTCGACCCAATTCTTCTTATCGTTTCCGACAATCCTCTGATGTAGGGAAGTGGAAGCACTGGTTGTGATGACTTCTTTTCTTTGCTGTCTTTTGGCCAAAGTCTCTTTCAACACTATTATGTGGACCTTCCTTCGTATTACAGAGCACGGTCTACTAGAGTCTTGATTCCTCTTTTAGTCGAATGATGATGGTTGGATTCGTGGTACAGATACTGTCCCGTGTGAGTATACCGTACATCGGAAATCCACTCACTCGGTAAAGTATTTGAAACACGGATCCTACTTCCATCAATCGACTAAAAGAGGAATAATCAAAACTCTAGTAGGCCATGCTTTCGGGCTTTGTAATACGAAGGAAGGTCTCGAGAAGGAACCATTCAACGGAATAGTTACTCTAAAGTGTTAATGAAACAGAACATACTTCAGCTGAAAGACAGTTCGCAACATCTGAACCTGATCCAGATCTGGAAACACAATTCGTAGCAGCCTCCCCTGTGAGTGCCGCACTCACAGGGTATCCCCCGGCAAATCCTATGTCGATGAAACTTAGAGACCACTGAAACTCCGCATTGCCAAGCACAAGAAACACACACAGCAAGAAGAAACAAGGAATCTAAATCTAAATTAAATGGTCCCAAGCTGAGATCATCCAGAGAGAGAAACACTGGTTCAGAAGAAAATTCAAAGAAGCCGCATATATGTTGTCCAACAACACATTCATCCAAGCTAGCGTAGAGATACGCAACATATGGAGACCCGTAATCAAGCGGAAAACGGTCAACACCAGCCTAACGGTCATCTTCCACCAAACCGGTGAAGCGGAGAGAAGAAATAGGGGATAGATGAAAGCACTTAAATGATCTATAAACAGTCATCTCTTGGAAGAATAGTCCAGTCATCACCCGAAGACTATTGTAGATACTAACAATCGAAACGTCGTGAAGTAACTCAGCTTAAAATCTTTCAATTTTTATTTGTTTCAATTAACCAATTTTCAATTTTTTGCTTGTTTTTTTCGCTTAATATAATTGTTATTTTCAGCTATTCATTTTGATTTTCAATTTTCAGGTATTTCAAATCATTTTATATCATGTTAGACAATGAAAGTCCAAACTAATCAAATTCACCATGAAACATTGCCAACCACTTTCAAACAAACAATGAAAAAACTATTTACCCCATCAGGGAAAAACTGTTTTTTTTTTCCTGAACACGCCAACTCAGTTGATGAAACATCGAGACGAGTATTGCAGTTCAGGTGATTGTAAAAAGTGCTTGTTTTGGATAATAATGCAAATCAAATATTTTGGTGCCACTATATAATTATTTTTGGGAATAATAAAACTCCATTCAACACTCCTGCATTTTTTTTGTCACTTAATATCGAAATATAAAGTACTCACCCACAAGACTGAACTGCTTTGGGACTAGAACCATTACTGAAACAGAAAACTGAAATAAGATTGATGAGGGTCCTGGTCAGAAATAAATCAAAGTGCAAGATCAGTTTAGATGTCATCTTGGCAAGAGAAAAAAATTATAAATCAGTATAAGCGGGGATGATTCTGCAACCGTGTTAGGAATCACACGTTAAAAAGTAAGACCTCGTTAGTCCTTGGCTCGCACAAGTTTCTCAACTTCTGAGAGTTGTCGTTCGTAGGGGGCGATAACTGATTAACGAAAAAACAGATTTTTTAAAACAGATATAATCGAAAAATTATATTCATATATTCACATATTTGAGATATCAAAAGCTCCAACAGCAATCCGGTAGCATGCTAGGTAATATTATTTTACAAATACTAAAACTCATTGGTCCTTCAAAACAAAGCAAGCAGAGATATCTTGTCATTACAATTGGGCCTGGATGCAGAAAACATGGAAATCTCGTATATCAGCAGTCAATAACTGAAGAATAATTTCATAACGACTTCACAGCAGCCCAGAATCATTCGATTTTAAGATTACTGCTAAGATATTGCTCAAGATTTCTGCTCAAAATTTAGTTGGAAGATAGTAAAGGTCGGAATGGGAAGAAAAAATATATGGAGATGACAGCATCATTCAATCTGGAGAGAAAACTGAAAAAACAATAAAAGCTGTGAAAAATGATACATTTAGAATATGATGATATGTTTGGATATTTTGAAATATTTTTTCATAGAAATTTTTTTTTGGAACAAAACACAAGCACTACAGAAAAATCTTCGAATCGCTTTAAGAGCGCTGCCTGTGCACATTGGATTTGAATAGCTGAAAATTAAATCCATCTGGAGAAACGTTCCCAGGAAGCTAATTCTACATAAACGCGGTTCTCGAAATGAAACAGTTTTTAAACAGTGATGTTCAAGGGGAATGACTCTTTTCTGGATGGAATCCAGCAAATTCAGGATATGCTTAGGGACGGAGCTCCATACATGAGAACAATACTCTAAAGGAGATCTGATCTGAGCTTTATAGGCATCAAAAGTTGCTGAGATGTGTACAGTTTTCTGATTCAGAACAGTGTTCCAAGCTTTTGAGAAGCAGCCTTTGCAATTCCAGCGTAGTTGTAGCTATAAATAACAAAAAGCTACACTTATCCAATAACACACGTTTGTTTATTTGACGACCGTTCCTCTTTTCTACTTATACTGCAGACAGTTATCAAGTATTCCTACAATTAAGTGAATTGCAAGTGAAACGAGTTTGTAATTATTTCCACGTAAATAGTAATTGATGAAAAAACCGTTTCCTCCATTTGTTTCACATGTCTTGTTGTTTAATATTCATTTTACTATAAGTTTGCAGAGCGTTTATAATTTTGAGTAAGCATAAATCATTTTTTGTAATCTTTTTCATGAATATCTATACTTTCAATTCGAAATGTTATATTGTTCAGGAAAATTGTGAAATATAATCCATTAAAATGTTACATTTTTTAGGCGTTATCGTGCTTTTTCCAGAGGACGCCGGGGGACAAGGGTTACCACGCCACAAACTTCAATTTAATCTTATACTGAACCCCCCCTCTACACACCAAAAAAATGAAATTGCGTCCTCTGAAAAACGCAACCCTAAATGTAATTTTTCAATAGACTAATATTTGTATCTGCCCTTTCAATAATAATTATATCCGTCTTTTTCACAAAATTAGATGCACTCAACGAATTATGAATATGTTTTAATGGTTCTCCAATACTCGAATCTAGGGGCCTATCTACTCATTGCTCCATCGTCATGAATCCCTTCCTATATCCGCGCAGTTCATATAAATTCATGCCTAGCGAATCTCGTTATCTACAATCTGAATAGTAGGGGAATTCTTGAAGATGAACATGGAAAAAATGTAATAAAACTTGAGACCAGAGAAAAACGCATGTCAGTTTTTTATTTCGCGGTTTGTAGGTTACTCGCTATCTTGAGTGCAAATTACTTTCAACATTTGAATGCAAATCTTATATTTCGAGTGCATTGGTTTTTAGGCAGATTTGATTTATTTGAAGGGATTATCATCTCAATCAATTGACAAAGTATAATAGTACATTCTGTTGTTTGTGCATTCTAATTCGAATGTTTTTTACAGAATGAACCTGTGGTTAATTTTTCTGTCATGCATTTATGCTGCTGTTTCACTGGAACATGTAAGTTTTTTAGGTTAGTACTGTATATGATATACTTCAATCAGTAGTTTTTTGTGCGGTTGGAGTATTGCAAGTACTACGGTTGAATCATTATTTCAGTAGACTAAAAACGTATTCTACTATTCATCAGAGCTTATATATTACTGGTGTTTAACACCTCGACACGTAGTTCGATCATCAAGTGATCATCTTCGCCTTGAATATGATCACTTGATGATCGAAACACGTGTCGAGGTGTTGAAAATAACGGTTTGGTGTTGGGATAAAAACTCCAGTACACCAAAAGTTCCAAACAGTGTATCATAAGTGCCTTAGAGCTCACACAAACTTTTCGACAATTTTCAGTTAACTCAAACAAATTTAAAATAATAACTGTACGTCGTTCGCATGATTTTCAGCTTCCCTTATAGAAAACAAAATATTGCTTAGACATTTTTAACGCATCCTGAGTTATGGAAACCAATACACTGAGGAAAAAGAGGAAAATAATTTTTCAGGAGTTATTTTAATTTTAATTTTCATCGTCTTCGAAATAATTACCTCTATTATGTAGTTACTCTAACCTGTGAGAAATAAACAATACATCCATTGGATGTATGTGATGATTGTCAGACCAATGATCACTTATGGTGCAATTGCCTAGTGGCAGAAGGCTTTACAGAAAATGGCCCAGGCAAAGCTCTCTGGCTTACAGAGACAGGCTTGTCTGGCCATCACTAGTGCCATCAGTAGATGGCACTAGTGATGGCACAGTAGAGAGAGGCTAGATGCATATAGACTTGTGCACATTGGCAATTGTACAAATCAATTTAATCCAAAGTGTAACTGACTGTTGGTTGACACTGGAAATCACAACATTCTGGAAATGACCTCTGACTTTATGTCTCCAACTGTCAACTATGAACTGCCTTATTAAGTACTGTTCCCGAGCAGAGAGGACTGAAACCTCCGGGAGACTTAAAAGATTGTCTCTGGTCTAGACTCCTGGCCATACTATCCTGAAAGGCAATGAGGCTGCTGACTCCTTTGCGAAGGAGGGTGCTTCATCGGACAAGAACCTGTCATATGTCATATGTCAAGCAAAGATTGAACACCTGTATGGCAAGAATATGTATGGACTTCTGGCAGAATCTTCCAGGATTGGCTCACTCCAAGGCATTTATTCACTCTTCGAAGCTTGATACCAAACAGTTGTTGGACTACTGTGAGGATGAACTACGATATCTAACAGGCCTTCCTACAGGTCACTGTCATTTGAATCATCATATGCAGAGACTGGACCTGTCGGAAGACATTGTTTGTCGCCTCTGTTTGGAAAATGATGGAACAGCAGAGCACATACTTTGTGCCTGCCCCGCTGGGGGCCGTATCAGGTTTTTAGAGTTCGACAGAGCCATACTCTTACTATCTGCCCTGAAAGACCCCTCACCATACAAACTTCGTTAAGAAGCTGGGTTTATTTGGTCGAGTGTGAATAGGTGTGAGCCACAGTAAAACCTTGCGGGTTGAGGTCGAGGGTCGAACAGACCACTCACTTTGGACCTAACCTAACCTAACGGTACCTGTATCTTGAAGAGATTCACCAATGTTTTCTGGTAAGTAGTCACCATCAAAGACATGAAAATGATACTGGTTTTCTTCTAAAGTCCACCCATTGTTTCCAGAAGTTAAAATGGTAGGTTGCTTTTGATTTGCATTGTTCCATATGCTAGGAATGTAATTAGCTCGGAAGAATTGTTGAAATAATCAGACTTGCATGGTGGTAAACTCTAACATCGAATTTTTTTAAATGTCTCGGATTGAATTCTTTGTTAATATTAGATACTCTGTAATTATTTAAAAACAGCTGAAGCCGGGTAGCATCAACGTCGAGTATGCCAGGAACAGAAAAATTTTTATATTTCATTAAAATAATCTTCCTGTCTATGCTCATCGGTAAACGACTCTGGATGTCTAAATTGCATAAAAGCTCACTGGTATTCATGTTTCTTCATTGACATATTAAATTGTCTTTGTTTACCTTTCTTTAAAAAGGTGTAATCAAAGTCACATCCAGTCAATGCATGAAATCCTTGCAAACTTCTACACAAAGATGGTCCCAAGTGCTCGTAGACTTTTGTTAAATTAATGTATCTTTGGTAATTTCAGGTGCCTGCGTGCGTATAGTGCTCTCGCGCTCATTCTCTCGACTAACAATTTTTGTTATAAGGGGATGTTCGGTCACTTCAATTTGTCTGACTAATTTAATATAACTTTGTAATAAGTACCTTGATAATATATTCAAAAATTAGTCATGTAAAAATGAGTTAAGTTGATTTATTTTTTGTGGAGCTTTAAAGCGTCTGATAAAAGTTTTGGTCCATGGAAAGTGTCTGACACTTACGACACTATTTTAGAATAATATTCTACAAAACGTATTTGGAAATTAGCCATAAAAATTTAAGTTGAGTAACTTTTATTTTCAGTTACCTTTCTTACCTGGTACCTGTTCAGGCTACTGAGAACCTGAGATTTCATCTGTGTGAAAATAAGTTATGCCTGATCGCTCTGGGATCTTAGTCTATGAATAACACAACAAATGATAACTTGATGAATTTCATCTGAAGAAAATCTGAATCGTGCTCAAGTTTTATATATAACAAAGAGAAAGACGTTTCATCATTATTATGAGAGTATTAAACGCTATAATACTCTCATACGTGAAAAATATCCTCAATCTGTTATTGACACCTAAGTTTTCACTTTGAGGAAATTGCTATCATATAAGTTATGAGGTTATATCGACAAAGTTTTTTTATATGTAAGGGAAATGATACTTTTCGGTTTTTTTTCACAAGCATATCACTTATAACCAATAAAATTAAAGTTTTCTCGTTTTGCAGTAAAAGTAAAGCAAGTGCTACAAGAGCATTCCATACCAAAGTTAATATCAAAGTTAGTATTCATCCTACCTGAGAAAGTTAAATACTCACTTTTAGAGTCTAAGTCATTTGGTACAGTTGAAATTATTTGTCTGAGAACAAGTTGTGATGCACTGTTTGGAACCTTTGTTGTAGTAACGAATATTACTGGAGTTTTATCCTAACACCAAACCGTTACTTCAACACCTCGATGCGTGTTCACTTGGTGATCAAAACACGTGTCGAGGTGTTATAATAACGGTTTGGTGTTGGGGTAAAACTCCAGTAATATTTAAGAACAAGTTCCCCAAAAGTTTTATCAACCAAATTTAACATTGAATAATTACATTATTGAATTTGTGTTAAGTATTTATCATTTTTGATCTAATTGTGAATGATTGCACCTGAACTGAACAGATTTGTTGGAGTGGGTAGATAATTTATCATATTTTTGTCAGTTGATAATCATTACTAAGTAAGTCCAAGTATGTAGGTATATTCTCTCTTTTCACACTTTGTTCCTTTCTCACTTTCTTTCAATTCCAATAATCATTTTGTATAAGACGGCAATCGATTCATTATCAACATATTGAATATTTCTCAGGATGACCCCGTAGTTCAACTGTGGAAGAAGCAGGGAAAGATACGTGGACACATTTTGAAAAGTGGAAATGGAAGGGATTACTATGCATTTCAAGAAATTCCGTATGCGACTCCACCCATTGGCCAGAATAGATTCAAGGTATGTAAATGTGAAATTTTCGATACGTTTGATATACATATTTCGATGTTTATCAAATGTTTAGTCTCATATCCAGATAATCTGCAAATCATTAATCATATCAACTTATATTATGGGTGTTATTGTTAATTAATGGAGTTGGTTTTATTTTATTTTCCTTCTCAATAGCATGAGTCTTCACCTCCAATTACATTCTAGAGTGGAGAAATTCATTTGCATTCATTCTATAATATCAGTTTCGATTGATACAATTGAGTCATCCATTCATGAATGATTTTCAAAATTGCAATATCTCTTTTGGAGGAAGATAACATTCATCTGCTCATTATTAATATGAAAACTTTCACAAATGAAATTCTCTTTATCAAAATGATGTAAGTGAAGTTAGAGAAGATGTTGAAGAACGAATTGGGACAACTGTTCGAAAAAAATGTAAACCCAATGATCATATATTGTAAATATCAAATTTACAGGCAAGTCTGATTTTTTACAGGTCATTGATATCGAAAGTGATCAATATCAACCATCATTCAGAAGTTTATTAGGAGAAATTGTTTTGAAAATCATTCAATCTAGCTTTTCATTTTGGACAAACTTCAATGTTATGATTTACTGGAGAAAAGATTAGAAAGATATAGACTTTACCATGAATCTATTAAAATACTTTTTCCACACCAGAACAAAGTATTCTTTCGCTTAGTTATCTCATGGTGGTAAGTGAATCACGCATTTTGAGACAGTATTTTGTTCTGGTGTGGAAGAAGTATTTCAATAGATTGATTTCAAGCCAGAGGTTCCAATTCTACCTATCGACTTCACCATCATGGATGCACTCTAAGTAGTGTTTACCAGCTTGACTTTGCAAAGGATTGCTATCAGAATCCTTGTTTATTTTTGATTATTTCGGTTCATTGTCGATCCCAAGATGCCCCTTTGTAACAAAAGTCGTCAAGATTATCCTAGAAGAGTTCAAAACTTTGCATATAGATCCGGCTTTGGACTCACATTATCTCACTTGTGACACTTGAACTATGATTATTTTTGTCATGACTTATATTCTCACTTTCATCCAACATAGGTTTTATCATTAATAATAATAGTAATAATAATATGGTTTATTGGCCTAATCGTTTCACAAAACATTTGATACAATTGATGTGGAAATAGTGGCAAAAGGGGTAAAAACAAAGAAATCACAGAAGTGGTAATAAAAAATTCACTTTTTGTTAGTGATATAAGAATTATTACTTGGAGTCTCTCATCAACTCACAGAAAAGAATGGTAAAGTAATAAAATAATGAGAAATATAAAATAATTTGTAATGAAGTCATTAGAACTTTTATTTCACAGAAAAGAGCATAGATTATTTTGTGTGACAAAATTTTCAAAAATTGATCAACCCCTTTCCAAAATACAAATACTCTTTCTATAGAATAATTTGTTTTTGTTTATATTTGTATTTTATTCAATCGAGTATCATCTGAAANTAGCATGATTGATGCGCCAGATTCATAAAAAATTGGACGTTTCGGATGCGCTTCGTCTAGAGGAGCCATGGCGGGTATTTGAACGATGTTATATTCCACACATAATGGCATCAATAGTTCCTTGAAACGAATACAAAATTTTGATGATATCTCAAACACACTTTGTCTTATTTAAATTTAAAGATAGAAAGCATACAATAAAATATTCCATATAAGTAATAGATATTCATCTCATTTCTTCAATTATTTAAAAATAATGGGAAATTGACTTTGAAGTTGAATAAGAATATACCCTCTGCATGCTGTTGACACTAATATAACTATTTCAAATTTGTCGGGTGAATAAACTTATTCATAATATTCTCACAGAAAAATTCACACATTTAGGAACCGGAAGAACACGTGGATTGGAACGGAGTTCTCAACACTACCGTGAATAGACGGGTTTGCATGCAAAACAATGCTGTGGCCCTCACTCCAGTACCTGATACCATGGAAATTACTGAAGACTGCCTATATTTGAACGTATATACTCCAGTGGTGAGTCGTTTACTATATGATATTTGGGAAAATATGAGGAACAAAATGAGAGCAATGAATATTTCAAAAATGTATTCTTATTCCATTGAAAATGTTTTTTCAACACACCAGAAACACACCGGGTGTGTTTCGGGTGTGTTGAACATCATAAGGATTTGACTGAAACTAATTACTACCAATATCATTTCACATAAATCTAATTCAACCGTCACATTCAATGCGACCATCCTATTGACAAGAAAATAAAGTATCCCCATTTTTGTCGGCGGTACCTTTCATAATTTCTCAGTCACAAATATTTCAGCCGATAATATCTCAGCAGTAAAAACATGGTTCAGGACAATAAATTTTCGTGACAAAAACATTTAACCAAATAAAATCGCTTACAAAAACTTCTCTCATTTCGGTGTTTCATGTATTTCCCTTGATCGCCGTACTCCTGCTCCTTCTTTATATTTAATGCGTTGTTGACGTATTTTATACTGAGCTTTTTTGTGCGAGATTTTTTGAGATGCTTCTGACTGTGATATTATTCCTAAGACAAAAAGAGGGGGAGCCGTTGTGGACAAAGTTGGGAGGTGTGAGGCGTACATCTGAAAGCGTTAGTATCTTTTCTATATACATCAAATTCCAAACCCTCAACGGAATTTTCATGACTTGGACATTCAGAAATGATAGATCTTCGTTATTCTCTTCAATTTCAAATGTCAACTTCATATTCGGGGAAATGTTGTTAAGAATAGAAGTCCTCTACCTTAGTATTATTTCCATAAAAAATGACAAATAAATCAAGCGCGTATCAGAACCAAATCCATGGAAAGTAGTTTTACTCTTCTCTCGCTTCAATTTTGAATCTGCTCATTAACAGCTCATCAATGATGGAAGACATCGAGTTTCTCATTATCGTTCCTTCGAGCTGCCTGTAGAAATAGTTGAAATGAAAGCAAATTTGTTCTATGCAAATTTATAGAGGGAGTACTGTAAACACATCATCCACGTTTCGTATCGGAGTCAGTGGGAAGTAATCTAACATTCAAAAACTACAGGTTAGCCATGAAGGGAGACAATATGGTGAAATATATTGTTTGAGAGATATTTTTTGTGAAGAAGTCAATATCTCTTACTGTTTTTTAATTACCTTCCATAATCAAAACAAAGGAAGCTAAATTGTTAGAAAATCTACTGTAGTGTAATAAAGAGCAAACAAAAAAATTCACCTCGAAAAGTTGCTGCGTTTGTCAAAGGAAATACATCTATTTCCTATTGAAGAGTTTCTCACGTGTGAATTTATTCGGTTTTGTGAACGAAAACTAAGGAAAATTAAGTATGGAAATTTCATTCCTTACATTAATTATTCATTCAATTTGTAGGCGATATTTCTGAGTACAAAAAGTTGCTGACTAATTGAATTCTTCAGTGGTTTATAATATTACGCAATAACTTTTTGGATTTGGCCAATACTACTTGATGAAAATCCATAACGAATTCAGGTAACACTTCATTGTGAGATTTGCACTGGACAGTTGAAAAAACCGCAACACATGTTTCACTATACAATATATACTAACTAAATTTTTTATAATAGCAATTTGAATCATATGACTTTTTACCTACTCAATGACTGATAATTCTACCTGTATCTAGGTAAAAACTGATTGTAAATCATAAAAGAAATGTTACATTTAATAAACTAATTATTACCAATTATCACATCAGAAAACGGTGGGAGGGAAAGAACTCAATTCTATTTGGTTATTCAGTGAATTTTCATAATTCTTGAATATACTAAGTGACAAAGAAAGATAAACACCCATTTATATTGAAAATAATTCAATGATTTTTTGTATGTGTATTGATGTTGATGCCAGTAAAAAGCCAGAAAAATTTCAACCGTATCGGAAGCTATTCTGACCAGTTTTTCAAATGTTTTTTTTGTGTGAGCATATACCATTTCTCCAATTTTTATTCTTATTTGTGCTTTGACTGTTAAAGAGTTTGTTGTAAAGTCTTTCATTTTGTTAACACCATGCCTCGAGTGCGAAGACTTTGTCATATTCCTCAACTCAGTGATTTTGAGAGAGGACGAATTGTTGGCTTAGGTGAGGCAGGTTTTTCAGTTAGAGAAATTTCAAGAAGAACCAATCGATCTTCTAAGGTATTATCAGGCATGGATTCAAGAAGGCCAAGAACACAGAGCTAGGAGCACCGGTCATCGCAGGGGAACAACAGCGTGTGATGATCGCCGATTACGACTTTTGGATCTTAGGGATCGGTTAATTTCTACTAGGGCAATTGCAAATCAGGGGTTCGAAAAACACGATATAACAAAGTATGTCAATGAATAATAAGTTTCGGACTTTTTTCTTATCATCCCCACTGACTCTACCATCGACGATTGCACTGGTGCAGAGACAAGAATGGAACCGCGTAGTCTTCATCGATGAATCTAGATTTTGTTTGGGTATGCACGATGGACGAGCAAGAGTAAGAAGGCGTCGTGGTGTAAGACGAGATCCCCAGTTTGATGTAAAGAGACATGTTCACCTTACTGTTGGTTTAATGATATGGGGTGCCATTGCATATGATGCAGGACACCTTAAGTCTTTATTATAGGCAACATGACAACTCTCCGTTACATGTCCTTCCATATCTTGAGACCATCGAGAACCCCATATTTCAACAATACAACGCTAGACCGCATGTGGCTAGAGTAACTTTAGACTTCATGAATCAGCATGACATTAACCACCTACCATGGTCATCCAGATCGCCCGATCTTTCACCAATCGAATATGTGTGGGATATTCTTGGTCGCAGGCTGCTGAATTCATAACAGCCCCCACATACTTTGGCAGCGCTTACACATGAGTTATGAGTAGAGTGGAATGCGATACCCCTACAGGATATAGGCTACTTTATCAAAACAATGCCCAGACGTATCCACGAGTGTATAAAACATCGAGGATCTGTAACACACTACTGAACTTCACTGGTTTCACGATCATCCAATTCCTCTAAAAACTCACTCGTGTGTTTGCTATTATCTGTCAAGTATGTAAGTTGAAAATTATTGAAACATTTTCAATGTAAATGGGTGGTTACCTTTCTTTGTCACTTAGTATATTAATCGATAATCATTTCGAAAGCTTGAGTTTCGAACCTTCCTATTCAAAAAAAATACTTCATAGTCGTGGTTGAAGTTATGCCCTCTGTCAAGATGCTTTGCAAATATGGTAAAATAAGAAATTCTAGACCTGCTTACTATTTGTATGTCTCGAAATCATTTTCGATTCAATGAATAGTTTTATTCATGCAGCGAAGAGCTGAAAATAGGAAACCCTTTGAGCCCTTTGCTAGCTGAAATTTCTAGACAATCTTGAAAAGGAAATTCATAATAATTAGTTGATCAACAGCTTCCTATACTGGTATCGATACGTAGATAATGTCTTATTCTGTTTTACTGGTACAGGTAGGCAATTGGACAAGTTCGTCGAATTTGTTAATTCCATTCACCCATTGAATCCATCACTGAAACAGGGAAAATAATTCAATGAATTTTCTACATGTGACTATTACTAAAATTATCAATAATGATTTTGCAATTTTTCAACAAACCATCTTATACGGACATTGTCATACATACTTCCTGGACACATTTCTGTCAACATAAAGTACTAGTGTTCAATAGTATGTTTCACAGACTATATATATTCCACTTCTTGTATTAGAAGGTAATTTTCAGAAAGGGCTGTATTTCATTAATGAAATCGCTGTAAACAAATCCATCATTCCTAAAAAACCAACCACTTAACAGATCTATCTCACGTCAAGAAACAATAATAATCGTCGTGAGTCATTGACATACTTTGGTGAATCCACCAATAACCCCGCTTGTTTTCTGAAAAGGAATAATAATTTAGGCAAATTTTTTGAAAATAAGACGAAGACAATACTTCAGATCAGGAGTACATAAGTTGACTTGTGGTTCTTGTAATTTGTCCAGAGGAAATCGTACAATTAAGTGTTAAGTATTCGAGTACTGATGAAGTTCTGTTGCATGTTATTTAATTTTTTTTTGTGCCATTAAGTACATAGACAGATGCATGATAGGGGTAAATTCAAAATATTGAACATAATTTAGGTCGACTTTGAACTGTTTGCCTCATTGGTTTGCTACCTCACATTCACATAAAATATAATGTGCTGTCTCTGTCCCTTTGTTGTATTGCCTGCACCCCTATTTTGTAAATACAGAATAGTACTTCTCTATTTATTCTATATTATGTATAAGTATTACGCACATACTACTGTCAGTGAAAAAACCACGCTACTTTTTCAACAGATTACACTCCCACAGTTGAACACACTTAGATTTCTACACATCTACTGCACATGTTGAAGAAGGGGCTTCTCACCGACCATGACTCAGTCAGGCATCTGTAGGTATAGTGCTCTGTATTTACGCGAAGCTTCTCCTAGCTTGTCTACAGCTCGGAATACAGGGAATTTCACGGAAAATGTAATTTAATTGATGAAACGGCATGTTAGTAAAGCACATCCTGGCGATGCTTACTTGGATAACAAAAAAATCATCGGGTGAAGGAACTCCAACTCTAGTGTTTCAGTAGAAAGACTAGAACTAGCTGCCTTCCTAGGAGCAATAAATAAGGGAAGACGTCACTCTCAACGTGCAATTTCTCTGCAAGGATGGGGATATCGAATACCCAAAACGACATCATACCTCACCTAATATTGAAATTATGATAAATGACGAACTTGATAGATATAATTCAATAAAGCACCTCTCGCTAACACCAAAACTGTAATACTCTTCTTGAGGCGAGTTTCATCATAACAGAAAACTGCCGCTCATTCTTACAGTTACAACTTCATCGTATCAATACGCATCAATATTGGAATAAGACCTTCGTAAAAGACAATTAAAACTGTGAACGGAAAGTATAGTATGTAGGTACTTCATATGTTTACGGTTCTCAAGT